CAGGACAACACGAATACAAAGAACAATGATTCTCCTATTCTACCTTTTAGTCCTGTGATGGGGGAAGGAGCTTGGTAGGATAGATGTTTCCTCCAAAAAGCACACACTACCTAAGAGTCAGCAGTGCTACCAATGAAAACATTGGATTGTTTAAAAACACTGAAGGAAAAAGTCATCATTGACAAATTTGATTGGCAAAAGAAAAATCTATTTTTTGGGGGGGGGGAGTCCGGTCATGGGGCCTGTACTCTGGGCCTAGGCGCTGTCCCTCGGCTCTTCAGCTCAAGGCTAGCGCTCTACCACTTGAGCCACAGTGCCACTTCCGGCTTTTTTCTTTTTGCTTATGTGGTGCTGAGGAATCAAACCCAGGACCTCATGCATGCAAGGCAAGCACTCTACCACTGAGCCACCTTCCCAGCCCCAAAAATCTAATTTTTTTTTAATCCTTCAAGATTGTCCTTCTGACCCAACACAGAAGACAGACCCCAACATTTATGCCAACCATTTCAGACACCCAAGAGCTGGAATAAATCTTAAGAGATACCTATTGTATATACAGGAGAAAATAAAGGCCAGAAAAGGTAAGGAACTTTCTTGTGATCACTTATAAGTGCAAAGTCAGGTCACTAACTTATATCCTTTCCATACGCTTCATCCTTTCATACCAATTGTGACTTTATAATCTGAGGTTCTCTGAGGTATGCCTTTTCTGCAACTGTAATGAAACCCTGCAGAAGAAGCCATTGGAAATTTCCTGGAAACTCTCCATTTTCAGGAAACTTAAGTCTCTGAAAGACTTACATGAAAAGGCTGAGGAATAAGTTTTCTTGTGGTTGATGCTAGCTGGAGTTTTGGCTCCAAAAGGAACAAATAAGGGGTCTGGTTCTCTTAAATACCAAATGTGTACAGAGAAGCTCACTGGTGATTCTGAGGCCAATTTGTGTTTTCATAAGTGACTCACAGACCACAAAACTACAGATATAAACAGGACAACAGATATACTTTTAAAAGTGAGACCATAAAAGCCATTCTGAACGTCAGCACTACAGCATTTCAGGTAGGTTAGCAAGTAATTAGCAACTGTCACAGTTTCCCATTACTGTGGAGCATGATCAGCCACAGAAAGCACAGTGGTTTTTAACCAGACTCTTATGCTAAGGATGGAAAAGCAAGCTCGTCCCCTTGAGATACAAGAAAATAAATAATGTCCCCATTAAAAAATAATACAAGGACAGGGAACTGAAGATGACAGTAAGTAAAATGAAGGCAGTCCAAGAACAATGCTCCAATGATCATGCTCTGAAGACACAAATGTTAATATTTTAAAAATAACTAAGAATGGAAACTCAAATTTATTTATGGTTTAGTTGCATAATTATTTTTTAAGTGGGGTGGGGAGGGGGATTGTGGTTCTGATTGAAAATGTTTTCTTGATTGGGAAGAAAATGTTAAATGAAGAATATGTTAAATGAAGAGTAACTTTCCCAGTAACCTAATACCCAACATATGGGGTTCTGTAGTTATTCTTGAGTGTTTGGCTGCTCTGTCCGTGGGCGCCCTGACAAGATACACTGGCCTGCAGGATTAACTGTTCCATATGGCTAATAACCTAATGCAATGAACAGTTGGAAAAAGCATTACTTCAGAGATACCTCAAAGAGCAGATACGCCAGGGAACAGGCTGTTTCCTAATGAACTTGGCCGTATCTTGCCGAGAAAAGACCCCCATGACACATAGAAATGCTAGGTTACAGCACAGGGGGCATCATGGAAGCAGGGGTCTGAAAATGTTCCCTATCCATGATAGAAATCCTCAAAGTGAACGGTGCCAAGAGCTTTTTATTTTGGATGAACAAATTCAGTGTCACCTACTGGTGCTATTTGGCATGTATTTCTATACCTTTTCACAGAATTCTTAAGGAAATAAAAGGCGGATCTAGAAAAAGCCTACTAATCCCTGTATCAAGAAATAAGCGTTTTTGATGAGTACCATTTTAATTTTTAGCTGCAGTTGAACAAATCAAATGAAATTATAAGAACATAAAATTTATTTTTAAATGAATCCACTTAGATCTTAAAGTGGCCAAAGAAATTTCTCAAAAGGTGACCAAGTATGGGGTGTAATGCATAGATATAAAATCTTAGTGCGTTTATAAATCATTCCAAAACACTTATTCAAAAAGCAAAAACTCACCCTAAAAAGGCCCAGTGGGTTTGACCTCTGGCGTGTGTCCTCAGAATGACTCCTGAGCAAACAGCAGTATTATGGAAGCCTTACTAGCACAGGAGTTGGGTTCTCCCCCACCTGGCAGTTAACTAGCCATAAACAAGACAAAGTGTGTAACTGCCCTGAATCCTTCTCCTAGGCTGGCCTTAGATAATATTTAAGGTTCCTTCCAACTTTAAAGGTCTCAGAAACAAAACAAGCTCCATTATTTTTTTTAGTTTATAATTTCTTTTTTTTTATTGTAAAGATGCTATACAGAGGGTTACAGTTACATGAGTGAGGTAATGAGTACACTTCCTATTGAGGATTGTTACCCCCTCCATTGTTTTCCTCCTACCATCCCACAAGCTCCATTATTTTGTGGTCCTGTGCTGAGATTTTTGTAACATATGTCCAAGAAGCAGGAACTGAATCTGAACCATCTACTCATTAAATGAGTGAGCAGAATATGAAAATCTGAAGTCATCAAATTGAGTAATATCAACTTGATGTATACTAATGCATTAAGGGTAGGGGGAAGGCAACAAAAGGTAATCTGAAAACTCGGAGACCTGTAAAGTATGTAAAACAGTGTTGATTATTGTAACTGCTATTAAAACTCTGCAATAATCACCACAATAAAATGATGATCGAGGTGAATGAACTTTACTATGTGTACTTTAAGGGCTTTGCCTCCTGAACTCTTAATTTAAAACTCGGCAATTTCAAGAAATATGCAGCAGCTAACACGTACGTGTGTTCATTCTGAGAGTGCAACAAAAATTAATCTTGATACTGCCTAGTTCCCTTTGAGCCATACTTTTAGTGTGTTTACTCTCTAAAGCAGGTTCCCGTCCCTGTCGGGTCCATGAAACCATGGTACATGATAGGACAGATGCGTGCTTCTTCCACCTGAGCACGCTCATCAGGGCCTACCTTTTCTTTTACCTGGAACTGAACCATGCTGGCCAACACTAAAAATTTCAGGGAAAATGAGAAGATGAAGGGACTGAGAATTAAAGGGTTTAATTTTTGTTCCTACTTATGGTAGGCAAGAGACAATAGCAGTGATAACCTTCATTAGACTAGCAACGGGTCTAGGGCCAAGCCTTAGACAGAACTCATAAAGTACCACAAGATTAAGATCAAGGGCTAAGAAACAGGCAATTGAAGTTAAGGATGTGAGCTTCTGGAACAAACACATGTGCACCCATGCAGGTATGCTTGCTCTCTTCTTTTCCTGGGGGCAAAAGCAACATTTTTCTGAGAACTTCCGGCTAAGACCAGTTCCCACCCAATATCAGTCATGGATGGATCTGAAACAGGGGCAGGTTAGGATGGGAGCACCTTCAGACAGCTACACTCCAATAAAATGAGGCCATTTGTCACTCATACAATGTGTGAAGGTAGAATTCTGCTTACCTACTGTGAGAACTTGAAGAGAAAACACCCTGGAGCCCTCCAATGTGTGCAAACACAGCACACTCTCAGGTCCTGCCAATAATTACTGTCTTTTCACACGCCACTATGACCCCGTTAGCTCAAACTGGAATTCAGCTTTCTATAGGCTTCTCTTGGACCAGCATAAAATCTAAGTTCTCTCAGATTTCCCTTAGATTTGTAGCATAAACCATATAATCTCAAGACTGAGAAGATATTTTCAAAGACACACTGAAATAGTAAATGTGGAATTACTATATACCCAGCATAAACTGTCTTTTTTTTTTTTCTTTTTTTCCAGGGCTGAGGACCGAACCCAGGGCCTTGCACGCGCCGGGCGGGCGCCCTTCCACTGGGCTAAACCCCCAGCCATAAACTGTCTCATATTCATAGGTACATGAAGACATATAATATTGCCCAATAAGCAATATTATGTTTAACAACCAAAATAGTGAAAACAATCTTAATGTACAACAGAATGAAATATTACGTAGCGATGAAAAGGTGCAGTACTGCTAAGCAAATGAATTTAGTAACAAAAATAAAAGACTATAAAGTGTATAATTTCATTTATAACAAGTTGTAGAATGGACACAGTGACTCATGCCTGCTATCAGTTACTTGGGAGACAAAGAACAGGAGGATCAAGGTTCAATGATACTCTGGGAAAAAAAGTGAGTGAGATTACCATCTCTACCAGTCAACTGGCCTTACTCTATCAGTGGTGCACAGTTATGACCTCACTCATGAGGGGGGTTCTGAAACCAGCCCAACCAAGAATGGTGAGACTATCTGAAAAAATAACTACGCCAAAGGAGCTGGGTGATTGGTTCAACAGATAGAGAGGCCCTGAGTTCATAACTCTGTAAATATATTGAATACCACTGAACATGTTATATTTGAATGGGTGAATTTTATAGTACGTGAATTATATCCTAATAAGCTGTCCATGAACATTTCAGTTTCACTAAAAAATGAAGTTTCACATTTAAGATTAATTTTCCTTAGCTATAGAATAAACTAAATCTTATTTTGGGTGCTATCACTTTCTATTTGAAAGAAAGAAGTCAGGTGAACCAAAGCTTACACATGCCCTTTTGTGGTAGTTCTCACTGTGGGACACTTTACAGGTTAACACATGTCAAGGCCTTACGTCCATGTAGAACATTTTTCACTATGCTCTCATGCACAAGAACACAGTCCAAAATCCTGCTGTGTGCTTCACACCACCCACAAGAGACAAGGGGAAAAGTACTGTTGTACCCCTCACCGTGTAACAAAACCAAGGCCATAAATCAGAGGAGCAGAGCAAGGGAAACATGCTATGTGCTCAACCAGACACTGCCAGACTCACCGTCGGGGACTCCGGGCCTGGTTTCATCTGAGGGGCAGCAGCTCCATTCCCAACAGTTGCCTCTTCAGAAACTGAACTTGCTCTTGTCGGACTCAGAAAATCCACTTCATCTTCAGCTTTAGTACCTGGCATTTCTGAAGAACAAGAGGTCAGAGAGTAAGTGCATTTGGGGGAAAAAAATAGTTCCTATGTGTTACGCAACAAACTCCAGGTAAGTGTGTCTTGTTAGTTTTTCCACTGAAAAGAATTTTCCTGCTGTCAGGAGGTAGTGTTATTTCTGACCCAGTGCCATTTCGGAGCTTTATCCCTTGTTTGTGTGGCATTCCCCAGCCCTTGAGGTTTGGAAGGTCTAATGCAACGTCTATCGAATGTCCATTTCACCAATGGCTTTTCATGACAAATCTGAAAATGGTAGAGGTGACCCCTGTGTGGAAGTCAATCCACATGTGGTAAGGGCCAGATTAACAGCTGAAAGCAGGTAGTCCTCCTCAGCCATTATCAAAAGTCAGGAAACTTGTACATAGGAAGCCACTGAGAATGAAACAAAGCCTCCTGGGAAAAATCTTTCTTTAAAAAGATACGACACACAAGTAAGAGTAATCACAAGTGTCAATCTGATTGAAATACTGTTTAAACATTTATGAAATATACATGTCAGGAGACTAATCAGAACAATCAGCATACACTAAAAAAGAATTACAAAAACATTAAAGTGTGTCTCATCTGGGCTGTGGGTATTAATTAACAGATGGGGAAGAGCAAATGGAAATAAGTTTGAAAATGATTCGAGATACTTTATGTACGTGTGTGAAAATGGAACACAGCAAGTTTGCTGAAACTCCATTGGAAGGCTGAGGAAAAGTGAAGAAGGGTTGAGTTTGATCACGGCATACCATTTGCACATATGAAATGTCAAACTGAAACTCCTTTGTGCAATGAATTGATACTAATATAAAAAAGTGTAGCAGGTACAATAGTTATGTGTATCTGATCATATAAAATAATATTTATTGAAATGAACCCCAGGAAATGGAAACAAGAGGGTTTTTTCTTTGCTGCTACTGTTTTTGTTTTCATTTCCTTTTGTCTTCTTTGCTTGTTTATCTGTCTTTGGGAGGCTAAGGGAAGCACAAAAATGGTGGGACAAAGGGTAAACAAATGCAGAAGTGATACTCACCAGACACTATGTTGAACATGAACTATACAACTTGTGGATGGGGACAGGAGGGAAAAACTGGGAGAGAGTGAGGGAAGGGGTGATATTGTTCAAAAAGAAATATACTCTTTATCTGACATATGTAATTGTAACTGCTCCATGTATCACCTTTACAATAACACTAAAGAATTTTTTTAATGGGGTAGGTAAAACATTTATGCACTATACATCTTGATCCATCCATCACTACCATCAGTAAGACTGAACTATTTTGTTGTTTTAACTATTTTGTTTCTCCCAAGACCAAACATAATTTTAAGAACTTTGCTTATGAAACGAGCTTTCGTTTATGTTCTCTTTAAAATGATCCTCTTGCTGTCTGTACTCAACAGATCCACAGCAGTGATTTCTGTTAGCCACCAAGCATCAGTAGCTTCTTAAGCAAGTGATATAAGTGATACTTAAGGAAACTTTGGGCTTCTGCCAATCCTTTAAGGGGAAAGACGATCAACTAGTGAAAATTTGCCTTATAATATCTAATACTAATGGAATTTCCATGTAGTAAAGTTGCCTAGGTTGTTAACTTATCTAGTGATGCCACTACTCTAGCAAATAAAAATGTTCTGTACACCAAGGAGTTGAGAAGCTTCCGTCACCCAAAAGTTATGTTAAGGTTTATATTCTAGCAGAAGGTGTGACATGCCCAATTTTCCTTTGATGTGGGAAAGTGACATCCCTATATTTATAAATCTTTTTTCCTTGCCTTTATAATTGTATAGTCTTTCTGGTAAGTTTTAAATAGGTAAACAAGCATCCTTGCCCAGTGAATGAAGATATATTACATTTCAAAAATACAATTAAGAGTTTTTCCAATCTGACTAAGCAATCCCTACAGAAGTATCCCACAGTGAAGTATCTTGAAGGGAGTCAGAGTAACTAAAAGCTTGGAGGATGGCTAGGAGATTGATGGTTTTATTATTTGGGGGTGGGATTTGGGACACAAACTCACTTCCCTGTTCCTATCAGCAGAAAATATTTATCTTGGCAGCAGCAAGCAGTCACAATGGTACCGAAGATACTGAAACTTGAGGGGCATTGGCAATCTGCAGCACTGGCATGGCTTAGTTATGTACCTCCAGCTTTCTAAGCACTGTGGTCAATGCTTTTTGAGGAGGAAGGGTCACATCTCCTCTTTCCGACTGTCCACTTCCAAATCAGCAGCTAAAACCTGTGTCTTCTCACTCATAAAACAACATACACAATTAAATCTGTGAGTGGAATGCAAACTTCAAAGAAAATACCCTTTGGCTCTGAGATCATACTCAGGTGCTTTTTGTCTGAGGCAATTTACCAGGGACTTCCCCCCAGCCATCACTATTTTGTGAAATGGCTCTAAAATGGAACATCAGTTCTCTAATTTGAAACTGTGAGTATACAGTTCTGATTCCTTCTAGTGGCAGAAAAAATATCATACACAAAGTATATTAAGTCTAGACCCACATACACTTTCGAAATCTCCTTTCTTACTTAAAAACTTTCAAATCTCAGCTGGGCGCTGGTGGCTCATGCCTGTAATCCTAGCTCCTCAGGAGGCTGAGATCTGAGGATCACAGTTCAAAGCCAGCCGGGGCAGGAAAGTCCATGAGACTCTTATCTCCAATAAACCACTAGAAAACCAGAAGTGGCACTGTGGCTCAAGTGGTAGAGTGCTCACCCTGAGCTGAAGAGCGCGGGGACAGCATCCAAGCCCAGAGTTCAAGCCCCACAACTGACAAAAACAAAAACCATAAAAAATAAAAAAAAAAAAGCTTTCAAATCTTAAACACCATTTCTTAACATAGATGCTACATACGTACTACACTAAATACCAAAGTCTAGAGTTCTCTGCTTTTATCTTTTCTCATCCAGCCCTGGAAACACCCAACCCCACATAGTTCAAGTTGCTTAGGTTAAATTCTGACCACGAAGGCAAGAGAAATAATTACAGCCTGTTTCCAAGGACAGAGCACCTAATAAAAAGAACACAGCCAGGCATCAACTTACAGCCACTCCCATTCTTATGAAATACCAACCTGCTAGGGCCCTGAAATAGAGTTGTTACTTTGCCTTATTTTAAAAACTAGAGCTTTGCACATTTACATTCTGAGAAAGCCGTTAACAAATTTCTACCACTAATAATCTAATAAAATAATGTGTCAGGGGAAAAAAACAACTCTGAAAGGCACCAAAAATTCCACCTCAAGTTCCTTAAATTCCACTTTCAAGTTCCTTAAATCCCTCACTAGGGTGAGGATAGGTGGTAAAATAGCTAAAAACCCTTTACTGAAGAAACTAACCACTATGTTTAAATTGCTCTTCTTCCCAAACAATTTCTTAATTTTTTTCGGCTTATTCATTTGTCTCCACACCCCACCCCTATATACTCTACAGTCACCAAAAAGAATAACCAAAATCTAGAAAGCACAGCAAAAACAAAAACCACATAAAGACAAAACAAGCTACATCTTACCTACAAAATGGTAGAGACAGCCATGAGATAGCTCCTGTGTCTACAGCTGGTGGCAGGTAATATGAAAATGTTTGTTACACTAACCTTTAAAGACTTCAGAAGGCGAGACCGAGTCAGAGTCTGACTCCAGTTTCAGCTTCAGCCTCAACTCCCAGTAGTAAGTTTTATTCAGATAGTTTCTTTCCACTGAGTAATAGTGGTTTCCCTCTGCCTTTTCTGGACATGGCTGCCCGTAGATGGAGCGGGCTGCTGTGTGAGCAATCTGCTCCGTGCAGCTGCTTCACCAAGATAAGCCAGCACAAGGTCAGCCCAGTCAGTGACAGGAGCTGGGCAGACTGGGCTTGGGCGGAAATCCTGCATCCTATCCTCTGTGCTGTGCAGGTCCTGAATTCCCAGGCTATGCCCAAAAGCATCAGAAAATGGGAACTGGAAGACTGCTCCTGAGACAGGAAAAGGAGGGAATGCACTCCACCCCAAACCTAACCAATGACCTAATATCACCATTTTGGATGTTGGGCCATCCACTTCAAACAATTCTTACAGCTGTTCATGAAACTACTTAGACTCTAAATTTACTCAGAATACAAACTGGGATGGCAGGGAAGAAGGGAGTCTCAGGCTTATAAATAAAACATATCCTTTCCAACCCTGTTCTGTGATCCTAAAGAAAAGGACTTAGGCTATTTGAAGTATTTACTAAATTCCTTTGTCCCTTTAAAGCACCTGTGCTCTAGGCACTATCCTTAAGGTTTGGAAACTGCTACTGCTCCAATGTGAGAGCCTTAAGGCTTCAGCAATCAAGCCATAAGTCCATGATACAGGAAGTAAAATCTATCCAACCCTAGCTGGTGTATATCACCTGATGACAGTGACTATTAACTTGGAAACTTATAGCAGTGAGCAAATGAGACTGTACAACAAGAAAGACAGCTGCATTTTGACTAGTATGTCACAGAAACTTGGGGAATCTCCTTCGAAACTAAATTCAATGTTTGCCTAGCTTACCTGTTGCTGGCTCAGGTTCTTTGACAAGCAGAGTAATTTTCTCTGGCTCCTCTCTTCTATCAAAACATCCTTTCAGGCTGCTGGTGGCTTCTCCGGTACTGGCTATTTGAAGGGTCTCTCCAAGTGGAAAAGCACTCGCTTTGTCTACAGAAGCATTCTCTGGCTGTTCGGTCCGAGGGCCCAACTCAGAACTGGACAGTGATGATATGTGACACACTTCCCCTCCAGTCACCAATGCTCCAGAGGCTTTGACACGCTCGATGACCGCCTCCACTAAACGACTGGCAGCCTCTTCTATCGAGTCTGCTCCCTTAGGTACAACTGAAACCATGCCAGGTAGAGAGAGATTACTCCTTTCCTCACCAGGTGCTGAGGCCTGTGTGACTTGTCTCATGCCCCCTAGGGTCTTGTCATCAAGAACTAGGAGCCCTGTGTCTGTAGGGGGCTCCTTGGCAAAAGGTGGCAATGTTCCATCATCCCTGTGAGCCTCCTTGGAGTCAGCCATGGAACAGCTGTGGTCTCCCTCCTGCCTCCCTCTCTTTTGATCGAAGGGTACAGTCTCTGGGGCTGCAGCTCCCTGAAAGCCGATCCCACCTTTGTCTGGCAGAGCTCCTGGCAGACTGACAATCATATTCTTCTCTCGGCTCACTGAAACTTCTGAAACCGAGTTGTCTTCAGTGTTGCGAGACAGATCCTTTCCTCGGGACTCGGCAGTACTTTGCAAAGTGTTAACCACTACCACATCCTCCATCGCATTTCTGCCCACCTCACAGGTGCTGGTGGTCCCTGGGACCTGGGTGTTCGTCACTTCACCATCCAGAGGAAGAGGTGGATCGCAATGTGCAGCCTTGGACTCCCTTGGCAGCAGCCCTGGCTGTGGCGATGAACTGCTGGGCTCTGCCCCCGACACTTCCTCCCTTGAGTCTGCAGCCAGACCTGGTCCTGGTGGCACCAGGCTCAGTGGGGCCCCACCTTCAGTCAGTGGGGAGGCCTGTGGGGCCTCTTCCTTGTTGTGTGTAGCTTCTGTCTTAAGACAGGCGGAGGGTGTGTCCAGTGACTCGTGGGGCTGCAGTGCTGCGTCCTCGGTGCAGGCAGCTAAGACAGGTTGATCACCAAACCTGGCTGTCTCTTGGGCTAGAGGCGGGATTCTCTGCTCTTCCTGCAATGTTTCTGAAGAAAGGGTGTCTTCCTTAATAGAGGAACGAGTCACTGCTTTGTCCTCATCGTCTTGTCCCTGAGCTGCAGCGCTTTCTGGAACCACCGGATTTTTTTCTTCTTCAGTCAAAACTGACTCAGAGGCCAAAGTGGCTGTCTCCACACTCAGCAGAGAAGGGTCAGTGAGTGCCTCGGGAGTTGCTGAGTGGCCAGGCCCCTCGTGCTCATCACCAAGGCCAGTGGGACTGGTATTGCCCATGCTGGGCTGAAGCTCTCCAACAGCAGGTGATGAGGGCGGACTTGCTGCTCTATCTTCTAGCAGCTGTTCGTCAGGCTCCTCTGAATCCCCTTGGTCCGGGCCTTCTCTGCAAGGCACAGCCCTATGGAGTTCAAGAGTTGCTGTTCCCCTTTCTTTCTGGGAGGGGACAAGGGAAAGTGCGTCATCTTTGGTTACTGATTCACCAACTGGACTGCTTGCCAGAGAGAAAACACTGTCTGATGGCACAGTCTGGTCTGGCACCAGTTCTTTCTCAGTTTGAGAGACAACCAGAGGCAGACATGAAGCTACCTCAGGCGAATTCATTAAAGATGTATCTTGTTTCAGATCTTTTCCTTGGACCTTTCTTCCTAAAACTTCAAGAGGACAAAAATTCCCACATTCCTGGGTAACTCGTACAGGGTCAGAAGGGACGGGGTCAGCTTGTGAGTCCTCCAGACCGGTTGAAGTACACAAGTCTTGTGTGCTGGGCTGCCCAGTTGTAGTTTCAGGTGTGCTGGGCTGCTGGGTTGAGATTTCAGGCCGTCTCGCTGAGTCACTACAATGCTGTACAACCAACTCACCACTAGAAGGCACTATGCTCTGCTGACACGCAGAGTCTGAACAAGGTTTATCATCCCCAGTTGTACAACAAACTGGTGACTGACTGTTTTGGCTTTGAGCATGAGATGAATTAGCTTCTGATTTCTGGTGGAGCATCGCATCAGTTTGTAGCACAGGGCAAGTTAAATCACAGGGGGACATTACCTCACACGTGCCTGCCAGAGGAGTGTCAAGTTCTGACACACTGGAAATCTTGTCTTCTGTAGCAGCTCGAATCACCACAGTGTTTTGATCTCTTACTATTTCAGCTAGCTCCCCACAGCATCTTAGAGTTTCCGTTCCCACTGTGTTTTCATCAGGGGTTTCTCCAGAACTCAAAGCAGGTGGAGACTCTGCAGATTTGTTGGCACTGAGGACACTAGCGGCAGAGAAACAGTTTGTAACATCTTTATCCACTAGCTCACTTCTAACTGTGCTGACAGGAGAGTTCTCAAATCTTTCCTCTATACCTTCTCCTGCCTGAAGCATATTATTCTGGGTGGTGGCAGCTAGGTTCACGAGACTCGGTTCTGCTTGTCTTGTGCTCTCGGGAGCACTGGCATCTGTCACAGAACCGTCTGCCAGTTCCCCTCCAGAGGAATGCTGGGATGTACCTAGTTCTGTCACTGTGTCTCCCGGCTGCACACTGTTACTCACAGACTCCTGTCCTGTGGCCACTCCAGAGAGTTGTGTTCCAGTTTCTTCATGTCTGGGTCTACAGGACAAAAGGTCTTCTGTGTCCTTTCCTCCACAGTCAGGCAGCCTCTGAAGATGGCTGTCTTGATCAGACACAGTTCCAGAGTCCACAAGAGGTACTGGCTCCACCTTTCCCCTGGTTTTCTCCACACCTTTATTTTTCTTCCTGTGAGAACAGTCTGAATTCTCTTCCTCAGCCTCTGTTGACAAATCACGGGGACTTTTAATCTGCTCAGCAAGACTTCCCTGGCAGCAGGGAGTACTCTCAGTCTCTTCAGGAAGAGAAGAAATCTGCCGGCTGTCCGAGGACTCTGATGCACAAGGGAGGAACTGGCTGGCTGTCTCTGGGGCACTGGGCAGACAAGAGGGATCCTGTGCTGTCACTAAGGGTGTGAGATTGTCCATCTGCTTGATGCTTGTTTTCTAGGAAGAAAGTAAAGATATTTTTAACTCTATCATTCTGGTATCACTTTCCACTGCTGCATCTATATATCACTGGGCTATTAAAAATGAATCTAAATATAGAAAATGACTTTTTAAATATTTTAACCTATTTTAGAAAGTCAAAGGAGATTGAGCTTTAAAAACATTGTTTCATAAAACAACTTAGCTGGGCACCAGTGCTCACACCTATAATCCTAGCTATTTGGGAGGTAGAGAGTGGGGGATTATGGTTTGAGGCCATCTAGAACACAAAAGTTCACGAAGACTCCATCTCAACCAATGGCTGGGCTCAGTGGAATGCACTTGTCACCACTAGTGACACAGAAAAGCACAAGTCGAAAAACTGAAGACCAAGCTGGCCCTGACATAAAGCCAGAGTCATTGCTCAAGTAGTAAACAACATGCTTAGCAAATACAAGATCTTGAGTTCAAGCCTCCATACAACCCCCCAAAAAACACACTGTGAATATCTTCAAATAAGTAGGTGAGAAGGCTATTTTTTACAGGGTCTCAGAGGGCCAGAACCTTCTTCAACCCATTCATCTCATATATTCAAGTAATAACAAATCTTAACCAATTTTACAAAACTCTTTTCCATCACAAGATGTAGCCAGAAGCCCACACACTTACTGAGGAGTTACAAGTTATCCTGGAACCCCCAAATTATTATCCACCCAACGAGCTCAAGTATTTGGATTTATAATTTCGCTAACAGTGACCACGCTGGAGTTTGAACTTGGAATCATACTTGCTGCTCTGCCATTTAAACCACATCCTCACACCTTTTAAGGGCTTTTAAGATTTGCTTTTAGATTTGCTTTTTTCTAACACGGCCTCACTTTTTGCCCAGACTGGCCTGGGTGGTGATTCTATTATTTACACTTCCTGAATGGCTAGAATGACAGGTACATACTACAGAATTCAGTATTGAGGGGGTATTTTTGGTAGTTGTTTTTTAATTGGTTAAGATGGGACCTTGTGATCCTTCTTCCTGGGCTATCCTTAACTGCAAATTTTCTAGTTTTAGGCTCACGAGTAGCTAGGGTTACAGGTATGAACCACCATGACTAGCTTCTTTGGCTTTTTGATAAAAAAAAAACAATCCTCTTCTTGTCCATCACTGAATATTAAATAAATGAAATCATCTGACATTAATAATACCTAGCTTTTAACTATTATCAGAAGGTACTGTGGTTAGATGGTTTTATAAGTCATCTGAGGAATGATTTTTTTAGCATTAAAGTACTTTCTTAAACAAATAAAGCTAAAAAAGGAATGGTTAAGAAAATATAGTTCATCAATCTGGTGAAAGGATTCTATCCTTCTGTGACAAAAATGGTAACTATGAAGATCACAGAACAAGCAGAAAAAAACATTAAAAATATAATGTTGGAAAAATAAAATTCATAGTTAGTCAAGATTATAATTATGTAAAAATCCTGTATTTGTACAGATAAGGCTTAGGAAAAATGTAGAAAATTTCAGAAAATATCAAAATTCATCACTCCTCTTAATACTACTTTTTTAATACATAAAATTAATTGAAAACATCTGGTTGGTTCTCCACTCATTATTTGATCTTCTCCAATAACTATCTCAGACATGTTCCTCTGGGTCATCTACTTACTAAGTAAATATAAACTAATACATTAGACTGTTCCTGTCTACTTACAGATACTGTAAATTTATATACAAGGAATAAACTTTGGTGTTTTTCCTCACCAAATATAGGACAGGAAAATTTTTTCACTAAAAATGAGTGTGTTAGTTTTCTCAAACACTTGTGTACTAGTTTTCTTACAAGTTCTTAAAATTAGCTTTACTCCACGCCTAACAAAGGGTGAACATGTCCTAAAAAACATGACAACAGGTCATCATACTTCATGAAAGCTGAACATTACAGGAAAGAGATCTGGAGAAACGAGGGATGCTGCTTGAAGAACTTGAGAAGCTCCTGCACATGCATTTCCTACATTTTTAATTTCTCATTGCTTTTCTGTCAAACGATCCTCACAGGTAGCTTTGACATCTGCAAACTGGTATTTCCACACCCATTCTCATTTACTTAGTAAAAAGATTCTAAGAGAAAAATGTGATTTCCACTCAAAGAAAAATGACATTATTGCTTTAAGACTGAAGTGATTCTGAAAGGCAGAGGTAGGCACATCATAAACCCTGCTATGGAGTTGTTTGGCCTGAATGTCTCAGAAAAATAATACATATTCCCAAAGAAGCGTCTAGCTTTGAGCTGACCCAACATGACCTTAAACACTATTATCAAGCTGTTTCTAAATCAAATCAACTCTGAAATAAGCTGGCTGGAAAAATTATCTAAACTTAGCCTTCAGATGTTAAGGCCAAGAGAAATACATCCATATGACGTCTATAATATTCGTAATAAATGGTACCAGGGAGTCTGTAATGTTTTTATGTCTGGCAGCAACTTCATCTTCAAGGCTTGAATGGATTATAAAACCTTTATTTTGTTGGTGATCTTTTAACTATCAGTTTAAATACAGTACCATGATCATAACTCACTAAAGTAACTGTGAAGAGGCTTTACTGAGTAAATTTGGTTGTGTCTCTTTAACAGCAATCTCAGTAATTGTTCTTCTTGCTTTAATTCTACAAAGTTAAACCAAACACAGAGAAATGCCAGGATAACTTAGTTGTGTGATTGTATATTTCTGCATATACAATGTGTTTATGAGGAGCTTTCATTACTTCAGAAACTTGGCAAAAATCAATTAAAACGAAAAATCAGCCTCCTACTTCTATAGCCCTAATGCCAGTTCTGTATCTTAGGCAGTAACAACTAATACCAGCAACATTGCCTATAGGTTTCGCAATCATTGGAAGAAGTATTGTAATATATGTAGTACAGCAAGATTCAGAGATATACATGAAATAAAAATGAAAACTTTTCCTTACCATTAGTTGCTGTTGGATATTCATAAGCTTAAAAATATGTCCAGTACAACTATCTCCAGGAAATGTGGGCTCATGCGATTCAGACTCGGAGGTCAATGTATAGATGTCCAACTCTCGGTGATGCCTCACAGAACAATCTCCATAAGGTATTTCATAGGATAAACTGCTCCAGGAGTCTGGCTCTCCAGCATTCTCCCTGAAAACAAGCAATCTCTCATTAACATATAAATTCTGCCTCCCAGCCATGTGTAGCCTTTTAAGCATAATATTTCATTTCTAATGTGTTTGTGAGGAGATATGGTAAAGATTTAGTTTATATATAGCTACATATATATGCTTGTGGATTGGACTTTTCTCCATGATCTGTTTTAGGTCATCAAGTTGATATTACTGTACTCAAGGCAATCATAACGTCAGCCTTTTGTATTTTGAAGTTTGTTCTGGCTTTCGGTTAAATGTGACTAGATTTCAGTACTGCTTTCATATAGTAATGAAATTATACTGCACTATACAATTGTCACAATTATTAGAATACCCATGTTTTTGTTCATAATGGTAATTTTCTTGCTGGGATTAAAAAAATAAAAGGAAGTGAAGATATTTCTATAGCCCTTCCTCCAGTACTTTAGATTCATGTTCCTCCATCTGCATATCTCCTTTTCACTCACTTTCTAGAAGGTGTCAGCTGAGACCTTTGCATTTGTCAAATAAATCTATCAGAATTTCTAGTGTTCTTGTAGGGATGCCTTTCTGTCCTGCCAAACTTGATTCCACTACAATAATATCTTTGTGCACATTTTCCAAGGTAAATTTGGAAAGTGCCCAAGCAGAAATAGAGGGCTGAGGGACAACTTAATTACCACCTGTAGACATGGGAAGGCCTTCAACTCAAGATAAGGCAGAGTAGTTATTTTACAAACCCAAAGTAAACTGAACATGGAGAATGACTTTCAAATGGAAATGTGATAGTTATAGAGAAAGAAAATGTGCTTTGGAAATTATAGAACATTTCAATACACCTGGGGTTCTAAGTATGAGCCTCACAGCTTACCTGGTTGGAGGGTATTCAGAGAAAGCAAGGCTTTATCCTCTCTCTATTGGCTTTATCACCATAGCAACTGTTTCACTATATGATTTTGTCTGCAAACTCTAGTGCAATGATTAATAGTAAAGCCAACTGATAAATAAGGTCTCAACTATGACGACTCTACCATTCAATGAATAAACAATTTTTAGACTGATGGAAATAAGTAAGTTTAATCACCATGTCACCAATGTGTGAACTAGAGTTTCTGGTTCAGGGAAAGAAGAAAATGTTGGTCATTAATCTTGGGTAGGACCCGTAACTTCAGACATGAGGTTACTATCATTAAGCTTTATTTAATAAGACAACCTAAACCTTGGCAGTACAATAAACTTCTAATCGCCTCATGTGGGTTTTTATAGAGACCACTGACATGATCAAGCATCTTTCATAATTTATGACTGAAATAATCTTATCTAGAAGTAGCTAGACCAATAAACTCACAATAAAGACTAAATAGGTTTTTCACAAACTACATGCAAGTTTTTTTATACCTCTCTTCTAATTGGCAATTGTTACAGAAAAACGTTAACATTGATTTACTCTCCCAGACAAAAACACTATGTATTAAGAAAACTTCTCAAATTATTTATGAAGAACCAAGTTTTTTTGTTGTTTTTTTTCTTTCCAATTCACAACAGAAGCACAGAGCTGTGACAACAGGATCTTGTTCTCCGTGGCAAGAGGAGGCAGTGGGGAAAAGAGGAAGCCAGCAATATTAACTATTTTGTTAGGAGCCAGAGAACATTAGATAACTTTAATTGTCAGAACTCCGAGGTGTAAGTGCCAATATATTTACATTTTGCATGTTAGGAAAACCAGACTAGAGATATAATTTACCCCAAAATAAAAAGCTAGTAAGAATGTTCAGAATTTAAATCCAGACCGAATGAATTCTAAAACTAAGCTTCCTCTTTCCACTAACCACAGTAACTACCTCTATAACAGCTTCAAATCATGGCTCCAATTCAACTCCACAAACTAGAAATCTGATTAGGTATCTTCTGTTTTCATAAAATTTATAGGAGCAACAGAAACTTTTTCAACTGTTAAATAACACAATTTAGCAGTCATTCCTTACAGGACTACACTATTCAAACTGGGCATCTGTGCCTGCCCACGACCCAGAGTTTACATGTGTGGTGCAACAAAATTCAATACGCTCAGGGCAAATTCCAACTAGCTTCCTAGCATCCTACCTGCTATGCAAGAATCAACAACCATTGCACATTGCAACTCCAGAAAACACTGTAACATACAGTCAAATTAACTAAAGAGAAAACACTTTACAAATCCTAACGACACTAGTCCTTCAAGGAAAGTTCAAAACTGCTTCTTGTTTAATCACAGCAAAAAGCCAGAGAAAATGTCAGAAAACAAGTAAGAAGACCACAGCGCACCTGTGTGAAAGCTGATACTCACACACGTCTACCCAGGCACCAGGAATAACGCAAGCCCATCTTATTTCAGTTCTGGCTTCATACTGTGTGTAGCTTTAAAAGTGGAGAAAGGCAGTCATGCCAGCCCTCTCAAAGGACATGTTTTGCTCTGAGTGGTGCTTCTGACAAGAAACTGCAGCAGTTCCTTATTTGAAGGGTATTGCGCTATCATCCATGAAACCCTATCACCATAACATTGCCAAACCTCTATGGGGCTTACAAAACCATCCACACTCCACTGACATGGAGCTAGTGGATGAATTCCACATTGAGAAGCAGTTGGGGCACAGTGGGAAAGAACTGTTCCCCCTTCAAAATTAAAAGGTGAACTTATCAGCCTCATGGCCTTGGGCCAGCTGTTTGGCCTCTCTCTGGATTGATTTTGCCTGTGGATAATACTGAATGTACCAACTAAACCTCAAGGTTTTGAGAGATGCCTAAATGGCAACACAAGAGAAGCACTAAGAAGCAGGGACCTGGAATTACTTAGTTATTACACTACTGCCCATTGCTAGTTCCCATGCACTCCTGCCTATTCATTTACCAAAACACAAAGACCCAAAAGACAGTCACAAAGGAGGTGAGACTGATGGACAGAACGGAGGATATGACACAGGGAAGAAACATGCCAAGCCATTCCAAGTCCTGCTCTCTATTTTTAAACTAAATGTGTACAGTCAGTACAAATTCTTCATTCTTTTCCCCTCTTAAACAAAAGCAAAGGTTCCATCTTGTTTTATGACAGGTCAGCTACTGAAGACCCCTCTGTCAAAGATATAAAGAGGACCCTCAAAAGGAAATTACTTAGCTGACAAAACAGCTTACACAATAGTACATGGCTCTATTGTGAAATAGGTCAGTAGTTATTCTACCACCTGGCTGAACCCAGGTGTCAAAGGGAGGACTTGAGAACCTACAGCCATGAGTCCCCTGAGAAGAACCAATACTGCCTACTACAGGAATCCATGTCCACACCCTGAGGGCTGTCCACATGCTCCCCCTCACCCTGGACATCAAGGGACCTCAGGACCACACCTAGTTCTCTCACTTTGTGGACTTGTGACACTTCACTTCTCTAGTCTGTTTCCTCAACTACAAAACATGGACAATAATACTCTACCCACTCGCAAGGCTCTGTGAGAATCAATATGTAAAACAATAGCTTGATTGTAATCAACCACTGATGAGCAACGCCAAGATATTATACAGAGTACCTCGTTTTCCTCAGGAAAAGAGGTTAAGACTACATGGAAACATAGGACCCTTTCCTAATTAAGTAGTACTTAATCCTGTATGCTAGTAGTCTCCTACTGAAACTCTTCTTTCTGCCAGTTCTGTAAAAGGAAGAATGTTTAGAAGAGTAAATATGCCACTCTCTCAATAGGGTGGGGCTACAGATTTAGCTCACTGAGCTGCCACATTCCATCCACAAAACACAAACAGCATCTACTTTAGAGAGGTCATCATAAGGCTAAAATAATACCTGCAATGTACTCACTGTAGTTTCTAGTGCAGTGTGGGTATTCAGCCAATTGAGATTTGTTGAACTGATACTAAAAATGAGATAAAGTTTCCAAAGACAAATAATTTTAAACTGGCTCTTGGGGCAATGGAAATATTTCAGCACTTTGTGTCAACACTCCACAGCTAGAACTCTTAAGAAATCTTTTTCTAAAGATGGTGGCATAGGAGCTGGGAAGATGGCTCAGTGGTAGAGCGCTTGCCTTGCATGCATGAGGCCCTGGGTTCGATTCCTCAGCACCACATAAGCAAAAAGAAAAAAGCCGGAGTGGCGCTGTGGCTCAAGTGGTAGAGCGCTAGCCTTGAGCTGAAGAGCTGAGGGACAGCACCCAGGCCTAGAGTTCAGGCCCCACGACCAGACCCCCCCCCAAAAAAAGATTGTGGCATAAAGCTGGGTGCTGGTGGCTCGCACCTATAATCCCAGCTGTTCATGAAGCTGAGATCTGAGGATCACTTTTGAATTCAGTCTAGGCAGGAGTCGGTGACGTTCTTATCTCCAATTAACCACCAAAGGCTGGCAGGTATGGCACCAACTTAAGCAAAAAAGCCAAGCACCCAAGTCCTGAGTTCAAGCTCCACTACCAGAAAAGGGGGAGGGCAGGGGCAATAGTAGATAACATACACATTAGTCACCAAGTTATGCCTTCTTTGTGGTGTCATTTATTTCTGAAGATTTCTTGCAAGACTAGTAATATTTTACCAGCACCTCACCTACTTTTTTACCTCATGAAAAAGTTTTAAAATCTATCCTTTTCAATATTTAGAAAAATGCATCATTTTTCTGGCATGTTACAACATGACTGAGTCTTTAAGATGATATGCTGTGTGAGAGGAACCTAACACAGGACAAATATTTCATGATCCTCACTCACGAGATGTATCTAGAATAGGGAAGTTCTTAGAGACAGAACATAGAACAGAAGTTACTCTGATATGGGGAAGGTAGCACCTTCTGGGTTTAGAGTTTCTATTTGGGGTCATGAAAAACCTCCCAAAATAACAGATAGTGATGACGATTATAAACTGCAAACCTAAAAATGTCTGAAATGTGCGTATGTGTGTGAGAGTGAAAGAAGAGAGTGAGTATAGGATAATCGTCGTCATCGTCATCATCATCATCATCATCATCATCATCAAAACCTTCCTGACTCATGAGGATCGGAATTCTAGCCAAGGCCCCATTATTACAGTGACCCTGTGAGGATGAAGACTGGCTTCCTCACGTTGCGGTAGGTACCCCTGACCAAGTACTTTTCCCACATGGTTAACAGTGCAGCAGAAGTCAAGCTAAAGGCTAGACCTGCAGCAAGGAGCTCATGTTCTCCTATCAAGGTCTTCTACATGGCAGTTTCTCTAATTGGCTTTCCTTACCACTCTTCATTCAAAAGGAAATAACTAGCTTTCCCACATGTAAGGGAAGTAGAAGTAAAATCTCTTCTCCCAAAATAACCAAATGCTCTCTAGTTTTCTAAGCTGTGCTGCAGAAACAGTCTTGTGCCATCCTGGTCCAGGCACATAATGAAGCTGTCATAATCATTTTATTGCCCCATTTGGATGGCCGTCCTTAACTGAAACTGCTTCCCAGCCGAAACACTGAGCTATAACAAAACCAAACAACTATAACCAAACAGTTATACAGACCTCTGGAACGAGGCCTCCCTTCCAGAAACCACGAGACCAGCAGCAGAGTGAATGTAATCCCCCTCCAGATGGGAAGTGTGAAGGGCAGAGGCGATCCCTCTCTGGAATACTGTCACAGGACAGCTCAGGTATCCAAAGCTCACCTGAGACGAAGATGGCCCCACCTGCAACTGTGACACCCATTTAGAGGGCATCGGAGCCTTCTGTCTGGCCTGCCTGGGAAAGTTATACGCTTGGCAAATGAAGCAAGGAGCAACTACACAACCACACTGCGCTTACACTCTGAAGTGCCTTCTTGATCCACCCAATTCACATGCAGCTAAAAATGAAACCACAGAAAATGCATCTAAGTTAAATCTGGCAAGAGCAAAATACCTAAGAATTTGGAAATTCCGCATCCATTTTTTAAAAGGGTCCCTCAATTGCTAAAGAGCACAGATCCAATGGAGTTTATTCTTATTTAGACAATGTGATATAAAAGATACCCATAAAACTAAAATTTAAAAAATACTAAGTGAAAAAGACAAACTATTCTTGAAGCTTCTGCCTTTGATAAACATTCCAATGAAAAGTACTGCTGCTCTAATGCATTGATTTTTCTATTTGTATGAGAAAAAAAAAAGGAACTCAAAATATTTTGACTAGCAACCTTCCTCTGAAGGCCTTTTTAAGGAGTTAGACATATTAACAATTGAACCCAAAGACAAACAGGATTTCCTACTGCACATTTCCAAAACAACACGGTTTTATCTTACTACTATTCATATGAAACCACTGCTCTGAATGTATTTATTCACTAGGAGTATATTCAAACCCAAACTCAAATCATCTGTCAATTTTTCTGTATCATCAAAGTAATGGTTTCCAATCAACGCTTTCAAGTCTTGAAGGCACACCAGGGGCAAAAGAAAATGTACATATATATGTATGTGTATGTGTTTATACATATGTGTGTGTGTGTGCACAAGAAAGACTGCTTCCTCTTATACTAAGACAGGATAAACTGCATACATCGCTAATTCCTGCTAGTCCCCATCTTGAGTCTTCAAAAAGTATTAGAAGCAGTGAAAGCCAGGAGGCTGAGGAGAGAAAAGGTTAACACGACTTACGTTTGTGTCTCACAGACAGCTTGCAAACCAGCAGCAGCAGCGGCGGCGGCAGCTAGGTACTGAGGTTTTAATCCATGCCAATGGCACACTGAGAAGCCAAGTGGGCTGTACCACAACCACTTGGGGTGGGGCTAGTGAGGAGAGGAGGAGGCACAAAGGGAGAAAAAGAGCACTTACTCGGTTAGGAGCTGGTGCAGCTGATGATAACCTCGCTCCAAGGCCAGGCTCACAGGCGTTGCCCCTTCCTGATTGTGGATGCTTAGAGCTCCACGGCCACCTGGTTTCTGTAACAGGAACCATGTCAACCGCAGCAGTCCTAGCCGTACAGCAAAATGCATCAGTGTCTCCCGGGGGGTACCATCTATAGATGGGGAGAACATGAAAAAGTAATGGGATTACCAGCACCACCGAAGAAAGACAAAAGAAAGGACAAGTCAGGTAGACACCACTACCTCCAAGTGTCTACAGTCCTGTACTCAGGACCTACAGGCCAAGACTGAGTGAACTTTATTATGGTCAGGTAGAATCAGCTGACAGGCCAAGACAAAACAAAGCCAGAAAAAAAAAAAAAAAGAAGTCCAGGAAGCACACTCTTCAACAAGAGGCAGCCCCACTTAGGCCATTTTCCTCTAAAGAAAAAAAAAAAAATACTGAAGTGAATGCAGGCTCACAAGAGAGAAATCTGAGGGAGGGGGGGTTCAGTTGTTAGGACTTAAGATGGGTGTTTCTTTGAGGGTATAATTACTTTTAAAAAGAACACTCAGACAGGAGTTGGCTAGTAAAACACTACAAACTGGTTCTACTTGTTAAGTACACACAGGTCTTTTTAGTTCCCCACATTATTAAAAGTATATCAAGACCGCTGCTACTGCTGGCTTTTGTTTGTTTAATGAGAAAAATAAATGCTTTTTCCAGCCTAATGAAGACCAACTTTAAGACAATACATTAATAAGCTCAGACAGGGAAGGGTGCTTGGGCTTTGCTTAAAATTAAGGCTTCTTCCTGGCAGAATGCGTCACTTTGATGGAAGGAGGACGGGCTTTGGAGTCAGGCCGAGCTGGGTTCAAACCTGGTATTTAGCCTCTGTGTGACGAGACCTGATTCACAGCCCTTCTCTGAGCTTCACTTTCCCCATCCTAGAGTGAGACACCATCAAACTCTCAGAGGTGTCAGAGCTAATGAGAGGGCACCGGTGAAACACTGGACTGACTAATTGGCCAAGCTAACGCAGGTACTGATTAAATGCCAGTTCTGTCCTTTACTCCATTCTTGGCCCTGAGCTTCACATTACATTGTAGGTCCACTAGCAGCATTCTGTCTGCCACTCAGCCATTCTCTTGTGCCTAGCCTGAGATGACAGGACCAAAGGGTACCAGGACCTGAGGTATGTGGCTCCACTATGCATTACCCAACTCCAGGATGTCCTGCCTTCTTCCTCTGGCTTCCATTATCTCTCACTCTTCATGGCTGCCCCTGGGTCCCCCTTTCTTCACTGTGCATTCTGACTTCTTAGACCCCAGTGTTTCCTCTTACTTTGAAATCTGCAACTGCTTCTATGTGTGAATATCCCAAAAGCAATGAATACAGTTTTTAAAGCTCTAATTTTATACTGAGCTACACTGTTTTCTGAAGTTACTGGTGGGTGAGTGTAGTCTTGTTTCCAAAGTAAGTGTTCTTGAAAGCAAAATCTATCTTTCATCTTTTATATTTTCCCTGCATACCTATATATACACAGACTGATTCTGAATTTTTAAACAGTTTAAAGAGAGGCCTGGGGCAAGAAAGGAAGAAATAATCAGGGACTGAGGACATAGTTCAGGGATGGGGCACTTACCTACCTTGCACTAGGCTCTAGGTTTTGTGCTCAGCACCACAAAATAAAAATATCAATACATAACTCAATGTTTCCGAAAAAAGGACATGTGCAGGTACAAGTTTTAATAATCAACATCTCTAAGGAGGTAGAAAGGACAGAAGGAACTCTTGCAAATCTTTATCAAAAACAGAAGAGCAAGTAAGGCATTGACCAGGAAAATATGTACTTTTTCTACAGCCAGTTAGTTCCAGCCCTACCAGTTGACTGACTCCTCCTTCAAGTGGCTTTCCCTTCAGCCCCCACCCTTTTCTGTCCCTTGTTTGCTCTGAGTCAGCATGGCATTTATGAGCTCCAACAAGGTGTGCACCTGCTCAGAATCTGGCAGGTTGGCTCCTGCACTACATCATCCCTAAGTCTCTCTCTGAAGCTCCCAGTGGTAGGGGCCAGGACTGCCACAAGAGGTTGGAAGGGCTCACCATGTTCCAACCGTACTCTGTACAGCTCTCTATAGGCTACATCCATTTTTCCCAGTAACTTGATGAGAGTTCATTATCTTTATTTTGCAGTGGAACTAAATAACACTCAGCCAGAATTGGGACGTAAAAACTCTTCTTTTAAATCTAAAAGCCATATCCCTTCCATTACTCCAGTATCTCTGTTTTGGCTTAAAAGTGGGGAGAAGAATACCACACAACCTAATTATGTGGTCTTAAAAAACATCTTTTCGAGCATCTACAACATTGTGTTATTCTTTAAAATCTGCACATAACTAGAGAAAATTATATAATCATGAAATAAATGCTCACCAACCTAGGTTCTATAATGAATGTTTTTCTACTCAACTCTATCTGCTCAACTTTCTGTCCACACACTTATCAATCCATCTTATTTTTTTGTGCACTTCAAACTAGTGATATACTTCAGCATTCATAGCATTAATCAAAGTTCCATAACACATAGTTATAATTTTAAGTTTATTTACACATCCAGTAGTCAAATGCAAATGGTGAGAGGAAACATCTGATAACATTTTGACAAATGCATATATCTACACTAATTCAAACTACAATCAAAACAAAGAAACCCCTCCCCCATCTGCCCATTACTGGAGTCAAACACTTCAGAACTTTTCACCACAAACTGGCTTGAAGCTAAAGCTCTCCTTAATTTCATGCCTTTGTCGGAAGTATAAGGGGACTGTGGAACATACTACATACAAATGTTGTAGAGTTAGGTAGTTAAGGGCACTGATTATTATGGAGAAATCTGAGCACACTGACCTAGAAAAAAAGCTAAAAGGCAAACACTATACAACCAACAATGAGAACAGGAGAAGATCAGCCACAAACCCCACATACGCCTTTGTACACCTGTGAGCAGGCAGTCCTCGTTAGGTATCGAGGCTCCCTATTTATCTGTGCTATCGTCCCAGGCGCCCGGCTTACTTCATACCTTTTCCCTTTTAAAGTAGCCAATTTACATTTTTTTAGAAGTAGTCAATGTGCAGTTGGCTGGACCCTCAACAATCCTGGTAGAATTAAAAATGAACAGAACACTCAAGCGGGCCAGTCTCCTATCAAAGACATAGGAAAATGACATACCCTATGCTTCAGACCTTCTTCATTTTTTCTAACTTCTTTTTAATCAATGGAACATAAACCCAAACATGAACTTGTAAGTCCTCTTTTATTTAAATAAGAGAAAACAAAACCAAAAACAAGTGCTGTAAGCCCCACACAGAATTAATGTGGTAGGTACTTTAACGCTGGTTCATAAAAGACCTCTAGATCACTACAGAAATGGCAGGAGTGAGAAGTACCGAGGCCCAATATGATGTCAAATATCTGAATCTTGATTATCTTGATTATTTTAGCAAAATAAAAGTTACTTGGCTACTACATGAGTTAGACAAAGAATAAATGGTCTCTTTCTTGACTTGATTTTGTAGTCTACACTTTCATATCTTAGCTGGGCAGGCCTGTCTTAGTATGTTAGACACCTACCTGGATACCTCCCTGATAAAAGGGGACACCACCATTCTGATGGAAGATCAAGGGCTGACTGTTAAGTACAGTAGACTTAAGAGACTAACTCACAAACACTATTCACCATCATCCTTGGGAAGAAGACTGGATGAATCTAAGGAATCAGAGATCAGAGCACCTGAGCATGCTCTAAGCTCAGGCCCCGCTAGGTATCTCTCCTCAGGAACTGCTGGCTCTAGGAACACAATAACCTAAGCTGTGTACACTCTGCACAGTCATGACTACATGTTATTTTGGAGAGGAAGTAGAAAGGGTTGGAGGCATGGCTCAGGTAGTAATGTGCCTGCCAATGAGCATAAAGCATCAGATGCTTGAGTTCAAATCCTGATCTTGGGAAAGAAAAAAAAAGTATAAGCAAAATCTTCTGGTGGGAACACTAATTCAGATTTCATCTGTGCTTTCATCAGTATTAAAGCAGACATTTTCATCTGTGTGTGACTTCTAGATGTTGCAATTAGATTTACACTCAAGATGCTATTTACGGAACCTAGGGTTTTTTTTTAATATTTCACTTAAAATATGTATATGGATGATCATGACACCTAATAATGTCATCCATTACAAGCCTAATTATGTGGGAACCTCTTTGAGTAAGAGGATAGATGTAAGTATTCATGACATCAGTGTTTTGTTTTAACAAGAGTAGAAACCTTATTTGAAGAACTCTTATTTGAAGCGCCAGAAGTGTGGGGGTTTTCAAAGCTTATCCAGTCCTCAGGCCCCAATGGCATTCCTTTCCTCCAACTACAGAACCTCTAGAGCACACAGAACACAGCACAGAAACTCTGCCTTCGATAATCACACACCAAAGTCTTGTCTCCTCATGAAGGATGATTGCCTCCTTGCTGAAGGGATCAAGCCTGAAATCTAGACCCGCAGAAGGTGATATGCCAGTCTCTACTTGGGTCATTTCCAAGAACCTTGAACTGATGCCTTCCTGGGTACTTGGTTGCTTTGCTATAGTAGTTCTACCATTTACTTACCCACCGTAGTACACTTGAGTAGAACAACCGTATTATTAAGAAGGGAGCCCCATACAAAAACAGAAGGGTCCAAATGTGACGTTTGTTTGTGAGTCACATAAATTCTCACCATGCAACATGTGATCTGTCCCCAAGACATTCCACTCTGCAGGCAACTTTAGGTGTCTGAACGCCAGAGCGACCTTCTCATCAAGTGAATTCACATCTCCAGATGGGGGTCCCGACCGGTCAAGAAAGCGAGTGAAGTTCAGAGCCTGCTGGTCACCAGCACTGGCTGCCAGGAACTGAGCAGCATCGCAGGCCTCATCCTGGACAAAGTGGAAGTCTTCTTCTGCCACTACAAACACAGGAAGGCCCTCTTTGGAGGCACAGAGCAGCACCTTCACTGTCTCACAGCAGTCATGACCTAAATAAAACACAGACAAGAAAGGAAACAGCCTTAGAGAGAGTCCCCTCAGGAAAGACGTTGTGGGGGTAGGGGGAGAGGCAGGGGCCTTTGGCTCCTTCAGGCCTGCTTCTAAGGACTGACAGTAGTTCCCCAAGTTGTAAAACCTATTTTTTTGGCTTTTTAAATTGTTGCTATGCAAATATGGCCCCCTTAACAAACAGAAAGGAACTGAACATCCCAGCTTTAACCACATCTCTACTAATAGCTCTAAGAGACTGGGCTATGATGGTCAACTACTGCCGTTCAAGCTGAATGACAAGGCAATCAATTTACCTGATTTTACTTAGTTATCATTAGTATATCTTGGCCTACCAAATAAATAATGATTGCTCACTGAGTTCACCTGAGCCACATAAGGATGATGCAATGCAGTGGCTAGAAGCCCAGTTCAGAAAAAGCAAATATACTGAAGACACTGCACTGCCCACTGTACAGACTGGCAGGCACCCAGGAGCCTCCACACCGGGGTAACCCACAGCCTAGACCAGATTACCAAGCTTTCACAGCACAAACTTTCTGTGTGGCAAAGTATTTCTGGAGAATCAAGATGTTTTCCCCCCAAGATTGTTAGCCTTTAAGAATTAATTACATGCTTCTAATACACAGATCATATTCAAAAAAGCACTAATGTTTCTTCTCCACTTTCAAATACTGATCAACTAACCACACGTCCATCATTAATTACCCATCACTCATTAGCTCTCTTCTCCCATAAAACACCTTTCTGAGTAAAAAAAAAAAAAAAAAAATTACATCACACCACTCTTCCTGACTGGTCATGCACCCTGAGAATTCAAGAGTTCTCTTGGTCTATACCTTATATAGGTACTACTTCCACAGCACAGCAGGAACCCTCTAAGTGCTCCTAAAGTCCGCACTCCTACTTCACTAACATAGGAAAAAGACATTTCAGAATCAGAACAAACTAAGCATTCTGCTCTTTTTGACAGAGAAAACTGAAGGTATTTTTTTTTTTCCAAGTAGCCAAGGATTTTTCTAGTCACCTTTCCCCCAGGATCCTCAAGTCTTTTGCCCTTGTGACAAATGAAAACTGCTCACTGCTCACCTGAAATTCTAGGTTGGTATTAAGTAGCTACTAACCAAGTATCTGCTATCTACCAGGCATCTGATTTGTTGTAGCTATTTACGTAACAATTTTATGAGACAGATGAGAAAAGTGAAACTTCAAAAAGTAGCATGCCCAAGGTTACAACAGATATATGGCAGTAGAACACACTATTCAAAGTCTCAGCTGATCCAAGGGGTCTGAAGCCACACTGTGTATGAACAGAGGAAGGAAGATAAGATCAGGAAAGCCCTGGTGAAGAAGCCTCATTACACTTGGAAGGACAGGCCAGACGACCATGAATCCAGGTTCAGGACTACAAGGATCACCTAGCTCCTTGAGGTACACTGCCTCCCAAGCTGAATTCCTTCTGGGAAGGCTAAAGAAAGCTGGAGCATCTTCCACCCCAGCAATTCCATATATACATGGAAATTACACACTTCATATGTGAAATAAAATTAGGGGAAAAAAAACTTTTAAATTACTTTAAAGAGTAATCAGCCTAATTACACAGACATTAATGCCAGCAGAAACATGCCAATTAATTTCTGGTAATAGATTTGAGTACTTTCCTGGCAGAGTATTTACTTTAAAATGTTCCATAACATCTGCTGACTGGATAAGCCAAGCTAAAAAAAGCTAAATGTTGTATACTTTTGCATATGTTGAACCTAGATTTAAAAGACATTACCTATTCATGGACATGTACATACGTGTATATACCTGTATACATAATTTACAAATACACACATATATACACATAGAACATGATTCTAGGGCTGGGAAGTTGGCTCAGTGGTAGAGCGCTTGCCTTGCATGCATGAGGCCCTGGGTTCGATTCCTCAGCACCACATAAGCAAAAAGAAAAAAGCCGGAAGTGGCGCTGTGGCTCAAGTGGTAGAGCGCTAGCCTTGAGCTGAAGAGCTGAGGGACAGCACTCAGGCCCAGAGTTCAGGCCCCACGACTGGACCCAAAAAAAAAAAAAAAGAACATGATTCTAACTCCGGGACCACATAGAAAGAAGATGGGAAGGAGAAAGAAGAAAAAAGAAATATGGAGGGTGAGTAATTTTGAGCTACAGCAAATAAGAACAATGTATGAAGACAAAGAACTTCAATGGAAGCTGTTGATAATAGAGGGTGGAGGAATAGAGGAAAAGGCAGCAACAGAGAGGGTTCTCTGAAGCAACCCCTAACATATGTATGTCTGAAACACCAGAGTAAAACCTCTTGGCATAATTAACACACTAAAAAATAATAAAATAAATAATAAGCCCTATTAAAGAAGAACACCAGTAGGAGTACAGAGGACTAAGCAACGGAGTGAGAGAAGATGGACACGCTTTACCTAGTTTTCATGTTTGAAAATGGAACACTGAAGCCTGCTGCAATGGTGTGAAAATGTGGGAGTAGAATGGGGAAGAGTGATAGTGAGGCGATCGGGAACATTGTTTACACATGTGGAAGTCACAATGAAATCCCCTTCACACAACGAATGGACATTAGTTTAAAAAAAAAACGTTTTGTAGCATGTAACTCAATTTGGTTCAACCACTAACCTTTGGACTGCCATCACGTTTAGGTAGCATGATTAGAAGGTGAAGACAAACAGGAATCTCAACCTTCCAGTGCTTTAAAGCCCACAGTCCACAAGAAAGACCCAAACAAGATGTAGGTGATGCTCTGAGACCAAGTGGAGTCAAGATACACAGCATCACATTACTTCCAAAAGGGGCAGGGGGATTTATGTCTCAGAAAAATTACTTTACGGAAAAAAAAAATGTCATGATCCAGGCCTCTAACAAAACCATACCGTAGTACCATTTGTTCAGCTCAACAACTACCTAAATTCTCACAAGTCACATGAGGTAGATATGACTAAAAATCATTGAACAGTAACATCACAAATGTCACAATTCTACCATCATATAAACAATCTGGGATCCAAATTGAATTCTACTTTCAAAATTTAAACTGACTGTGTCTTAAGAGGAGATATTACACTTACAATGGTTATAAACAGTCCTTATTCTTTACTAAATCTCCTTCCCCAAACTTCTGCAAAGATGAGAAACATGAAAACTTAAAAATCAGGAAGGGAGTCACAATGTCAACAGAAGTAAACATCACATACTGGTTTATGAAATCACCTTCTGTATGGATGTATGAACATACATACATGTATAAACATATGGAAGGAGGAAGAGAGCAAGGGAGGAAGGGAGAGCAGTGAGGATCCACAGCAGATCAATAATATTTTTATTCAAAGCTGTGACCTGTAGAAGCAGCTGCTCAGAAATTGATCTGGGACTGCTAAAATAATTGTTTGCTTAGACAGAGTGAGATGGGAAAGCGAGTCAAGGTGACCTAAAAGTGAGGTGGGGGGTGGGTATTTGGCAGCACAAGTATATCTTTCTGCTGCTTGGCAAAGGAATCTATTAGCAAGTGGAAGAGTGTATGAGGGAGCTATTCACAGCTCTATCTATGTAAAACTATAACAAGTGTCAGGCAGACATCGGGCCATGAAAGGCCTGATAGATATCTAGGAAAACGGTCCAACTGTTAGTCTAATATTTTCCCTTCAGACATGAACTCACAATCTAAAGGCGAAACTATGAATCACACGTAAAATGTGCCATATCTAGAATTTGTTTTGTGTGATTAAAGATTTGGTTTTTCAAAAGAAAAACTGAAGGTTTTAAGAGAAATGGAGAACTGAGTATGTCTTGACAAGACTTCATTAAAGAGTAAACTGGAAGAGTTTCTACTGAGGAAAAACAAAGCACCTCACCCTTGTTTCTGGAAATCAACCATGCAGATTGACAGGGCTAGTCTTTTATTAATGTTTTCTATTATGCTAAAGTGGCTCTCAAGATTAATTTTGAATTCCTATAGTGTTCTGTGTAAAGCAGCTAGAAAAAAAAATTAGTAGTTAAGAACAAAACGTTTATATAGTATCAACCTAGTCCTAAAACTAGAACTGCTGCACACGTACACATAAACCTTCTTCCACTGCAAACTCCAGAAACGTGACTATTTGCAGAGGGCGTGAGTCCCATGACCACTGCCTTTGTACATAGTACATGTAGGACATTAACTACACTGCACCATACAGACAGGATGGGAAATTACATCCACGTTGATGTAAAAATCACAATTAACCTTTTGCATAAAATAAAATAGAACCTACAAGTAAGGAAGTCAGGCAGCAAGATTTTGAGCTACTTCAATGGTGTTTCTTTGTCCAGTCAATTTCCTGGTATTAGAGTAAAATAAAAATCAGTTTTAGGGCTGGAGGCATGACTTAAGAGGTAGAACACCTGCCAAGCAAAGCACAAAGCCCTGAGTTCAAACTCCAGCACATAGGTATATGTATATAATACAGTTATGGTTTTTATATATTATAATACATACATAATACATAAACTCATTAGCTGGAAGGGAGCTGTCTCCAGCTTATGAACTGTAAGGAGTCCCAAGAATGGCAATGAGATGCAGAGTTGGAAATACTAGGTGTGGACCCCAGGCTCCCTTGAAAACAAGTTTGCTTATGCTAAGAAAGTAACTCAATCTTAAAGCCTGATTCTTTAACCAAAAATGAGAATACCAGAACCTCACAAAATAGCCCAAAACAGACAGCTGACACTGTCGTTCTCATCAGCTTTTCAAATGTTCCAGTTGGTGATAGTTCAAGGAAAGGGGATCTCTAAAATGTTTCAAAGATCTTCTCCAGCCAGCATGGACCAACAAAGCTTCAGTGCCAAATGTTGTTCAGTTGAAAAAAAGTTTTTTCTTTCTTTAAATTTTATTGTCAAGGAGATGTACAGAGGGGTTACAGCTACATAAGTAAGGTTCATTTCTGGTGCAACAAGGTTATCCCTCCCTCATTTTTC